GAGAGAGATTAGTAAAGGAAAGTAAAGTAATTGTAACACTGTTTCTGTAAGTGTAGATAAAGTATCTGATGTGGTCCATCAAGAAGCACTCAACAAACACTGAGGCTGTAGAGAGGGATTAGTAAAGTAATTGTAACATTGCTTCTGTAAGTGTAAATATAGTAAGTGTGATATCAAATAGGTGTGAAATAAATTATACATATAAATACAAGTTCTTGATTTAATTTATTAGTTCATGCTTTACATTCAGTCCTTATGCCCTCGGATGTAGGATGGATGCCTCAGCTTGTTTATTATCATAAAAGTAACTAAAATGTAAGAATCAGGTTAGATAATGAAAAAATAAATAAAAAAAATTTTCATGAGCAATGCTCGTGTATTATGTAACTTGATACAGTAATGTAAGCTACATGTTCACAGAGATTTAGAATTTGTGTGGTGGGAATATTAGCTAAACATGGTTCAAAGGGAAACAAAACTATTAAATATAAATAGATCTATACTGTTATGAGCTTTAAGCTATTTACGATAAACAACTGTGGTTTCCTGTTACAATGTAAAGTCATTCTAGAAAGAAAAACGGGAAATAGATTTCCTAATTTTTTATGGTGGTTACGAGGTTGGTCAAATCGACCATATATACTTATGATAGAGAATAATAACTAAAAAAATTTGTTGGAAAAAAACACAAAAACATTTGATATTTATTTCAGAAATTTTAGATTACACAAATGAAATATGAAAATTTTCAGATGAATAAAAGTATTTTTAAGCTTAACAAGAAAATCATTTTGCACTTGAAATAGTCAACACTGACTCCATATATTTACTAACAAATTTTTAGTGAAAATACAAAATTAAAAATCTGATTTTTTTTGTCTAATAAAATTTTGTGAACATACATTAAGTAATTTTAGAGTTATAGTATATATACCTTCATGGTTACAAGTTACTTACAAGGTTGTGTAAAATACACAAACCCATTGTGAAAGGGTTAAACCTTAAGACAACAGCACACATAAAAATAAAGCTCACCACAGGATCTTTTACAACAGCATTCAGAGCAATGATGTTTGGACCACCTCTTAGGTTTTCCAAAATTTTTATTTCCCTCTTTATTTTCTTTTTCTTCACAGGCTAAGATAAAAAAAAAGAAAGAGAAGCATTATATATTAATGAAAAAATCAAATACAGCCTTCAAAAATAACTTGCTAAAATTTGGACTGTACACATACAAGTATTTTTCCAAGGATAAGCATGGACTTACTTTACTTTCATCATTTTTTTCATACACGTTTCTTGCTTTCATATTAGCTACAAAAACCAAACATAATGTATTTTAAAACAAAGAAACAAAAGGAATGGAAACAAGCTAAATCAATTAACTCTGCAATTTATTACATAGAAGCATTGCTAAGTACAAACTATAATCTGTAAGTTGAAAATTTTGAGTATCAATACAAATAATATGTTTGCATTTGTCTGCCCAGAACTTTTTCTTCCAAATTTTTTGATCAAACACTATGAATCTAATATTAGGTCATCAAGAAATTAATGTTGCTTTTTTTGAGATGAAAAAACCTGAACAAGTTATATATCAAAACAAAACGTTTATTAAATGAAATAGTCTCCATTCTTATCGATGATGCTTTTCCATCTTACAATCAGATTGTTAATGCCCTGATTAAAGAAATTACTTGACTTTGAAGCAAAGGACATGTCGATGTCCTCTTTAACACCTTTCACATTTGCATATGTTTTCCCCTTAAGATGGTGTTGCAGCAAACAAAAAAGATGATAATCTGATGATGCTATATCTGGAAAATTTGGTGGGTGTGGGAGAACTTCTCAACCCAACTTCATAATCTTGTGTTGCAAATGTGCCACACGTGGAAATGCATTGTCATGGAGAAGAAAAACATCTTTCTGATTGACGAGTGAAGGGCGTTTCTGATGAAGAGCTTGATTTAAACATTCCAGTTGCTGACTATATATCTCTGCATTGATAGTTAGCTGTGGAATGAGGAGTTTGAAATGAATTACTCCTTTGATGTCCCACCAAATGCAAAGCATCACTTTCTGCAGATGGAGTCCAGGTTTTGGGGTCAGACGTGGTTTTTGTCTAGGACTGAGCTATTGTTTTTGGTGTTTAATATATGCATAGAGAATCCATTTTTCTTCACTGGTTACAATTCTGTCCAAAAATGGTTCACGCGCGTTACAGGCCAGAAAAGACGAAGCAATGTTCACATGTTGGAAACGATTATCACCGGAGAGTTCGTGAGGCACCCAAACACCTTCTTTATGGAGTTTTCCCATATTTCTTAGATGTTTACATATTGTTTCATGAGAGACATGCAATTTCAGGGCCATTTCACAAGTGTGTTGCCTTGGGTTAGACTTAACAAGCATCTACAGAACATCAATATCAATTCCAACATGTCAGCCCCTGCCATCACAGTTTTTAAGGCTAACGAAATTTGCTACACTATCGTTGACACTTACAAATGTTCAAAACATTTCCATAAACTTCTTTAATATTCTTTGTGGCTATAGAGGCATTGTTTCCCTTCTTGTATTCAAACAGCATTACATGCTGAATGCGTCTCATCGTGAGCCATCATTATAAGGGATTAGAGTATACTAAACTTTACATGTTATGTAGACTACACTAACGTGACATTTAGGTGGTTTGTTTAACTATTATACTTGATGTACATTTGGGAGGGGGTAATGAAAGTGTAACAAAACTCAACATCAATTTCTTGACGACCTAATATTTTTAAAAAAGCCTTTGTCCAAGGAGTCTGGATTGCATATTGGCTTTTCAATAAAATGAGTATGCTACACAATGGCACAATGTTGTTGTCATCATGTGACAACTAGCTTAGATTGCAACTTTATTTTTTCTATTTGCAAAGTATTTCACATAAACAACACTTAACCTGCACATAATTGCCTAAAAAAAATTAACATTACACTAAATAAAATTTCTCTGGACTTATTTAAGTCTAAAATATGCATGTGCATTTAGTTCAAAACCATACGCTTATCACTTTGTGAACATGCATTTAGACATTTCTGCATATTCAGCTAAGTTTGTCTTCATTACAACTTTATATTTACTTTACTTTGCAATAAATTATCTTTGGATCATTTCACAGTCTGCTATAAACAGCTTTTAACTACTTTTTTCTTGACTATGGGTTATATATTTTTTTAGTTTCTTTCTTACAACTTGTAAAACCATATCATACACTGAACTCTTTCTTACTCTGTACACTATTATAGTTTTATTAAATAAAGTAATGTCTACATGAGTTTGTTTGTCTGACAGCATAAATGGTTTTCTAACAGATCAGGATTTATCGATCGAACACATAATGCATGCAAGAAAGCAAAGCTTAAATGGCGTGCTTGAAACTGACAGAATAAGGAAAATTCAAGTGAAGGCATGAAAACTACTGCCAATGTTTTGTGAGTCACAGCTAATGTTTTAATAATTTAAGGGAAAAATAACCTTGGCAAAACAAGCCCTCATAAAAAAATGATTATCATCCAATGAGTTTATGCTTGTATATATGTTAAAGCCATGTTCAAGAATGTCAGTTAAAGTCAAGATACAATATTAATTGAAACACTTTCCCTAACATGGTGAGAGGATGACACATTTGTAGCTGCTTAATTTCACTAAATACACAATTACTCTATTTATTTAAAACACTAATGTATCAATACTTATTACTGATTAAGAATTTTAGGATATCCAGCAATTCTTAAGTTTGTATTTAGGTAGTCCCTTAATTTATTTCAAAGTCTTCCTTAAAGACCCTTTAACTAACAGTGACTAAAGTAACTCTGTACATTATGAAACATATCATGTCAAATAAAATACAATCGTTACAAAACAGTAAAGTATACCAGACCAAGTAGAATCATTACAAAACAGTAAAGTATACCAGACCAAGTAGAATCATTACAAAACAGTAAAGTATACCAGACCAAGTAGAATCATTAC